GACCCACGCAGGCATCCTTCCTGCGATAGGCTCTTTGGACAGGACGTTTTTGTTGGTGCCTCGCTGCCTCCAGAACACAAACTATAGAACATGAAGGCGGGCCAAAGGCGTTACGCAAACGCTTCGCTCAAAAAGATGACAGCAACCGGAATTTACCAATGGCATAGCGATGAGCTAAAATATTCAAAATGTGATGAGCTATTCAAAAGCGTTAAAAAATTCAATTTTGCTTCCACATTTATAAAGGTTCAAGTCATAGTCTCCAATTTATTTGCATGTTACTGGCAAATAAGAAAAAAAACTTTCACGGGATTCTTGTTTAGATAGATGGAAATAATTTTGAATTAAACTTAATTTGAATTAAACTTATATATACTGCGAAGATACCTTAGTACAAGTATAAGCTCTTGTTTTGCCGATAAAACATGTTTCAAACTGTTTTAATTAAAATTTTAGTTTGAAACAAAATTCCGTTATATAGTTCGAAAACGAAGCATCAAGAACGTGTCTTCTTGGCCAGAAGCCCCAACACGCTTAAGAAGTTTTCATAATGACCTCTATAATATCTGTTGTCATTTGTCACTTACTTCGAGGCGAAGGTTGACAGTAGCTGTTGTCACTTGTCACTACATCGAGGTGAAGTGTGACTGTTGCTGTTGTCACCTGTCACACTTCGAGGCGAAGTGTGACAGTAGCTGTTGTCACTTGTTACTTACTTCGAGGCGAAGTGTGACAATAGCTGTTGTCACTTGTTACTTACTTCGAGGCCTGTCTCTTATACACATCTAGATGTGTATAAGAGACAGGGATTAGGGTGTCCTATAAGCTGCTACTGATTGTAACACCTTCACCCACCGCCACTAACGCCCCGCTAACGCCCCCCTACCGCCCCCAGCCATGGACTGCATCCCCCGCATCTCCAGGGCGCAGGTGTTCGACGCGCTGAGCTCCATGGCGAACATCGCGGGCTACAGGGCCGTGGTGGAGGCCAGCAACCACTTCAGCAGGTTCTTTACAGGTGCGTGGTTACAGGTGCGTGGTGGAGGCCAGCAACCACTTCAGCAGGTTCTTTACAGGTGCGTGGTTACAGGTGCGTGATGGTGCTTCAGGTTCTTTACAGGTTATCTGCTGTATGTTTTTTTACCTGCTATTCATAAGGTAATTACGTAATTAGCAATTATTAACTAATTTAACGAACTAATTAACTTGTTAATTAAATAATTAGCAGGATGTATGAATAGGAATTACATTCATAAATTTATCAAATAAATAGTAATTGAATTAATTAACTAATTAAACTAACTAATTAACTTTGAAGTTGATTAAATAATTAACATTATCTATGACTATGAATTGCATTCATAAGTTAATTAAATAATAAATAGGGTAATTAAGCTAATTAACTAATTAACATGATGTATGAGTAGGAATTAAATGCATAAGTTAATTAGATAATTAAATAATGTATGGGTAATTCACCGCCCCCTCCCCCCTCAGGGCAGATCACGGCGGCGGGCAAGGTGCCCCCCGCCAAGGTGCTGGTCATAGGCGGCGGGGTGGCGG